CCATGCTTGACCCTGAAGCTACAAGAGACACATTAGACATGGCCCCTGCTCTCATGAAGTCTATAGTCTAATAGATGAGATTGACAAGCTAATCAAAGGTAAAATTGCTTGTGGTTAGAGTTATGGGAAGGTTTCTGTGGGCACGCAGTGTTACTACAGAAGAGCTGGCTGAGGTCATGCTGCTGGGCTGACTTTGAAGGATGAGTAGGAGTTAGCTAAGGGAGGGAGGTGTGACCCAGGACTCAGGGTGAATGCACAGTTCGGATTATGAAGCAGTCTTCTGGTTGGCCCAGAGGATTGGGATGAGCATAAAGGGGAGATCTGCCTAGAATTTTCCATCCTTGGGCAATCAACAGCAATGTTATATAAAGCAATATTACATAAGAATTCCAAAATCTACAAATTATCTGACAAACCTCATACTGCTCTCTCAGGTTAAGTGCCAAAATGTCAATTTCATAATAAAGTAAACGCTGATTTTATTTGTTTGATCTCTATTAAAGCCAGTAGAAATGATTTATTGATTTTTTTAAAGAAAAATATTTTAAAATGCCACTTTCTTTGTGAGGAACTTGTTAATAGATGTGGAGTTATCATATACCCCAAACACACTTCTAGTTACAAAATGTTAACAATTTTGAGAAAAATCAATAGAATAATCAGAAAACTCATGCAAATATGAACAAAGAGCAAAACAATTCCTTGTTCTGCAGTCAATGTTTGCAGTCAGTGTTATTTCATGTTTTGCTGCCAGGACTTTCAGTGTTTTGTTTTTTTTTTAGTGTTCAGAGTTTGCAACTTGTTCACTCATTGTTTGAGTCGAATCTACCTTCATGTTTTGCTTTTGTTTTTTAATGCCATAAAAATTGAAGCTAACACAAATAAATGAATAATGCTTTCTGGACACAGCTAGGGTAATACAGAAACTCAAAGCGAGGCATGTGTGTGTGAAGAATTCCTACGCACTCTGTAAAGCCTTGTGTTACACTGCCCATTATATTTGTCTGGTGTGCTCATGTGTAGTCTCTAGACAGAAGACCATTTGCAGTTGAATGCTCAGAAAAAGTTTGTTCCTTCCTATAAATTTTCTTTTGTCAGATAATAATTTGTGTACATCTTGCCTTTCTCTTTTTGACTTAATCATCAGGAAGCTCCTAGCTACAACTTTTGCCTTAGTGTTTCTTTCCATCCCATCTGCCACCTGTTCCTTTTATTAGAGTCTCTGAAAGAAAAGTCCTAGAACATCCATGACTGTCACTGAAACTGCTTTAAATCCTCTATGGAAGTAGAAAGGTTAAAATGATGAAAATGTCAAAGAGCTATGGTTTATCACAGAAATATAATAGTAATTGAACGTGAGCACTGGATCTCCTGGTCCTCACTATAGAAGTACAGTTAATCAAAGTGGCTAGACTCATCCCTTTTCCTAGTATAGTGGGGGGCTGATATATTTCTCTTACCTGCTACTTGCATACTGGGTAGAGCAGGTAAGCCCTTCAGAGGAATTTGTGCATAGTAATTTTACAAATTATTATTATAAAATATTATTATTAAATAATATTACATATTAATATTGCATAGCATCATGTATATTATTTACATAGTAATCCACAATTAGCAAGTCATTGGAAAGTGTTGTGACACCTGTCACCAATTTGGGTCATAGAAACAGAGAAATGATAGCACAAATTGAGTTCCTGAGAATCCCTGTTCATGTGCCTGTGCTGAGTTTCAACTGATGGCTGAAGCTTTTTACTGGTAAGTGATTGTTAGAAGGCTGAGGTCATCAGGAGTCACTGATTCTGAGCAGAAGAAACTTTTCACTAAAGCAAGATTAGAGAAACTAAATACACAGGCTTAGCCATACAAAAATATGTGCTCTATCTCCTTGTAAGTTATGTTTTTAGAAAAATAAACATTAAAAATTGCTAATGGAGTAGACAGCTCCACATATGGTAAAGAGAATTTTAGGTGAACCTATCAAAATGGTACCATGAGAAGAGCAGTGAAGGGGGATCTGGGATGACAGCCAGTTCTACACTGGCTAGTTTTGTAGTTTCTCTGAGCCTTGGTTTCTTCATCAGAAAAGGAAGAGGCTGAACTTAGAGATTTTCAGTGGGTCCCTAAGTTAAATGAGAGCACAAATCTCTTTGTCAAAATTTAGCTAAATTGAGGGCCTACTGGTGTCTTCTAGGCATGTAGTGATGTGTGATACACATAGTCTTATTTTAACACAGAGAATTTGAAATGTGAATGTTATCTCCTTGCTACCGACAAATCTGGAGTTTGGGTACTTACTGGGTACTTAGTAAAAGGTCCTGTGTTTATGATAGTACCTGTTTTGAACCACTGTCAGCTAGCTGTGCACTTTGGAGAGTTACTCTTTTTTCTTTGAGAAATGGGGTGGCTCTGTGTGGAATCACCCACACCTCCTTGCTATCCTCGTGATTACTGAGATAGACACCAGGGCAAAGCTCATCAGGGTGACTGCAGCCTAGTGGTTAAGAACGTGGGCTCTGAAATGAGCCATTGTGGTTGCATCCGGTCTGACGCCTCCTTTGCTGTGTGACCTTGGGCACGTTATTTAACCTCTGTGCCTTGGCTTTTTCAAATGTGAAGTGGGGAAACAAATGACCCTCTCTCAGAGATAACAATGTAGAACATTTTGAACAAATATCTGATGCATAATAAAAGCCTGGTAAAGAAGAGCTAATCTTGCTTTATTACTGCGTCCTATGGAGAATGAATGTACAGCCTGGATCTTATCATAACTCTGTTGTGACCATCTGACAGGAGAATTGGAGAGGAAGAGTGGAAGGGGCTCCTAAAACCCCTGCTGTGAGCAGGAAAAATGGTGTTTAAACCACTCCTCAGAGATTGATGCTTATGCTACTCTTACAGCTCTTTAGGGAATAAAATTACCTCTCGCTTTCACTAGCCTAATGCAATGTCTGACAACTTCTCTCAGTCAGGAAGTTACTCCTTCTGCATGGCTTAATTACCTATTGTTGCGTTTCAATTTGGGGTGAGGGAAAGGATAGTGTGTCTGACTCTGAGATTATGGTTCTGCTGAAAAACTATGGGGATGGACACATTTACTGTCAGTGAATGGCTGCAGGGCTTGGTCACACACTGTGGAGATGCTGTGTCTTCCAGGCAGTGTCCTGCGGGTGCCAGGGGCTCTGTGTGTATCTGCAGGGCTGCTGGGATGGATGGCAGGGGAGGTGGCAGTTAGCGTAGACCTAAAACACTTGTCTTTGGACTACCACCCACGATGTAACCTGAGTATGTTTACTTTGTCTCTGTACTTGCTTGGGAGATTACACCAACAGAAAGGTTCTGCAAAAAAAAGCAAAATTTGAAAACCAAAAAGTCAGCATACGTCCGTCCCCAATGAGCCACATGACGTGGCCTGTCACTCATCAGCTGACTCCGTTGCTTCACATCTCTGCTCCTCTGTGCTGCCTGTCTGAAAGTGGCAGTGTGTGTGTGTGTGTGTGTGTGTATGTGCATGTGTGTGTGTTTGTGTCTGTTCCTTTGCTCACAGCAATGGTGTGTATGTGTGTGTGTGTATGTGCGTGTGTGTGTGTGTCTGTTCCTTTCCTCACAGCAATGGTGGGAGAAGGAGGATAAATGGGAAGATTTATGGGGAGAGAAACTTTATAAATCCAAGATATAATTATTATGAGACTGGAAAAAGCCTCCTTTAATGTGTGCAGGGCAATACTGTCAACCCAGCCTTATGGGAGTGGGCACCCTGGGAATTAATAGGGGGGGTTTCATCTCTAGCCTATATGATAGGGTGGCAGTGATTGAAGTCCAAAGTTGAGACAAGACCATTTGGCACACCCTGGCCTAGTGAAATAGGTTCAGAAAGATATTGACCAAATAAAGGAAGTGAATACAGATTGTGCACAGGAAGATTTATGCCTGCCAAGCACCTTGCAGCACTGGGCTTGCAAAGCCCTTCCTCCAAGTCCTGACCCAGTGGTTGTCAAGGTGTTCGTTCTCACCTGGCACTGTGTCCGCGCCTCTCACAGACAACTGAGTGGTGTCCTGATTTGTAAGGAATGCACTCTGAGGTGGTGGCCTTTGAGCACCAGAAAGCTCAGAAGGTAATTCCTCTGCCAGTTGACTCCAGGACATGGGCCTCAATTCCTTCCCTGGAACATTAGTAAGAACGGGGAGCATTGGTCAGGACTGTGTGATTCAGAGAAAGCTGTGGCCCAAAAAGTCATGTTCAAATGGTGAGATTTCTCCCCACACCCAGCAAATTCCTGATGGATGTAAATTTCCCTTTAGATTTGTCGCTGGTTTTCTCTGCAGGGCCAGTTAGTCAGCTGGAGACATTTAAGGTTATGCTGAGGACAGCCTTGATTATCTGTGATGTATGATGCTTGGTGCTTTACATAGTTACCTAACCTAATTCGTACAACCACGCTGGGCGGGTAAGTGCTGTCTTCTCCATTATACAGATGAGGAATCTGAGGTTTAGAAATTATAGGACTCACTGATAATTGGTGGAGCCAGTGTTAGACGCCACCTGTGATTGAATTTTAGAAATGAGACAGGAAGAAACTAGATGCCACCCCATGCTGCAGAAAAATAGCCTGAAACCAGCTTTACGTGTTGCCAATTTGCCTTAATGAATGAAGCCTCTCCCCTGTTTCTGGAACCAAAATTACACACACGTACACATACACACTCACAATTGCAAAGACTTCTTTCTTCCTCAAATTGTTTGCTAAGCCAGAAGCAACTGGATCACTTGAAATGATGCACTGGTCATCTAATTACATTTTTCTCTTGCCTTAAACACCAATCACAGCAGACTGTCCATTTGTGGCTGAACGATGCTTGCTATCAGTGCTTAAGACACCTGAATGAATAAGTTAACGAATGAGGAATGAGTGAGGGATGGTGGTAGCAGAAGGGGCAATGACTCCTTGCAGAAAAAGTGCACCACCTTCCCACGTCCACCTGCTGTCCTCTCTTCCCAGGGTGGCATGATTGCTCTGCTGCTGTCCATCCTGTGCCTGGTGATGATCCTGTACACTCGGCGGCGCTGGTGCAAACGCCGCCGGGTTCCCCAGCCCCAGAAGAGTGCCAGTGCCGAGGCAGCCAATGAGATTCACTACATTCCTTCTGTGCTGATTGGCGGGCATGGGCGGGAGAGTCTGCGCAATGCCCGCGTGCAGGGCCACAACTCCAGCGGCACCCTGAGCATCCGGGAAACACCCATCCTGGATGGCTACGAGTATGACATCACTGACCTACGCCACCACCTGCAGAGGGAGTGCATGAACGGGGGAGAGGACTTCGCCAGCCAGGTCACGCGCACACTCGACTCCCTCCAGGGCTGCAATGAGAAGGCGGGGATGGACCTCACACCAGGTAGGGATGGGAGAAAGACAAGGGACTGTTTGGTCCTTGTCTCAGGAAGCAGGGGAGTGGATAGGAACAGCCGTTTGTCCTGCATAGTGGGATGTGCCAGTGCCCTTCCCCAGGTGGCAAGAACAACCTGTTTCCTGAAATGATGAGAACTGTTTTCTAATATAGAAAATCAGAACAGTGTCAGTTGGATCCCTTTCCACTTCCACCATGCATTGGAAGCAGAAATAATTTTACATCCAGCAGAGGAGTGAGTTAGAGCCTTTTTAGTATGTTATGAGCAACCCTCTGGGAAATAAGGAAATAGCAAGAATAATCAACATGTGTGTGACTGTTTTGTATGTCGGACATTTGCACAGGCAATTTAATTGTACATTGAAATGGAGGGGACAGTGTTAACTGTTATTTTCTATGACTCCTGAGACTTGGGCCTGGGGTGTTTTAGTTGTGCTATCTAACCCATGCCTCAGTGGTCTCTACATGGGATGCACTTCTTCAAAGGGAATGCAGGAATGCAATATTATTATCAGACCTCAGATGCTTTGTGTATCTATAGAGATACTAGGTAGAAAAGACCTAGAACTAATTCAGCTAAACAAGATCAGGGTCAAAACATGTAGAGAAGGAAGGGCTATATTTTTCTTTTATAGAAGCCTACCTGTCTCTCTTTCAAAGCTCTCTGAATGAGCAAATCCCCATAGATAAACCCTTGACAATGATCCTTCAAGGAAATGTCTAATTATCTTTAAGAAAGATAAATTTGGTACTGAATGTCACTTAAGATACGTGGACTTTCAGTGGGGCTTGAAAAAGTAGAATCACACTGAGGTTTCCATTCTGCTTATTAACTGGAAGAGATTGTATATGAATAGCCAATTTCTAATAAGATTTAAAGTCTGGAAATTCCTTGAGAAAAGAAGGGACATGTCTTCAACATCTCTCATAGTCCCCATAACACCTGGCATAGAGCTAAGCCCATCAAGTAGACATATGGTACTCAGGGATTATAAACTCAAATGCCCTTAGAGGGCAGACAGATAACACAAATATGTGATGTAGCTGGAAGCCAGACAATAGGGAAAGGTGTAGACTGTGATGAAAGAGAGAGCACATGTTCTGCCTGAATAGACACAAATTTAAATCCTATTAAAACCCTGCGCTGACCAAAAGAAAGAACGCTGCAGTCTGTATTTAGCCAAAGGGTCAGAAGCAGTAACCTTATCAATATGGAATTAGTTGAATTGGATTTTCAGTTCTAATCTCCTTACTTCATTCCTTCTCCCATAAATTTGTAGTCCCCTAGAAATCAAATAGGAGTATTTCGGTCTCTGCCAATCTCTCAATTTGCAGGTTCCTTATTTCAGTTCTGTGAAACCCCATCTACTCAGTCCGTGCACATTTTCCTGCTCTCACTTTCTTTTGGCTTTTTCTCTTAAAGTTTTTGCCTCAACTTTTCCTTACACAGGAAGTGACAATGCCAAGCTGTCCCTGATGAACAAGTATAAAGATAACATCATTGCCACCAGCCCCGTGGACTCCAACCACCAGCAGGCCACCCTGCTCTCTCACACCTCCAGTAGCCAGAGAAAGCGGATCAACAACAAAGCAAGAGGTATCCACGACTGATGTTAGGGCTTGCAGGTGGATTCCTCATTCTCCCACCCACGCTCTGATGTGTGGCGAGAGGGGGCAAGCACTGGCACAGTCTTCCCGGAGGCCAGTTAAATGCTACTTACCAAAAAAATTTAAATGTGCAAACCTTTGACCAAGTAATTTCACCAACAAAGATCTATCCTTAGGAAATAATTGGACAAGTGTGCAAAGATGTGTGTAAAAGGCTGTTCATCACAACGTTGTTTAAATGAGTGAAAAATTGAAAATAGCTTAACTGTCCATCAACAGGGAATTGGTTAACTACCTTCACATCTGTCTACTGTCTGGTGGCTTACCATGCAGCCATTTACAATGATAATATAAATCTACATTTGTTAATATGGAAAGTTGCCCACCCATCTATTAAATGGAAAAAAAATGAGGTTATAAAACAGAAGGTAGAGCATAATGTCATTTTTAAAAGGGGATTAAAAAACCTTTACCTATTTCTGTATCAAAAAAATGACAGGGAATATATACATCACGTGTTAACAGAGTTTTTTCTGATTTAGAGAATTTAGAGGACATCAGGGTTGTTCCCTTTATACATTTTGGTGTATTTTCTTTATTCTCTTCTGTCTTTATGCATTAAATATATGTTAATTCAAGAGCCATAAACAAACACAAAAATATAATATCCTATGCCCCTGAAGACATAATTTCAGTCTCATGTCAACCAGAATCATGCCTGTAATGAGGGAAATTTCCTGTTCTTTCTTTTCCACCCATCTTCCCTGGAGGTCCTCTGTGGCAGGTAGGTGCCAGAAATGGCCCTAGTAGGTGGGAGCGTGGGCTGGGTGCGGGGTAGGGCACTGGTGATTGTTGTCATAAAGGTCTACTTTTCCAACAAATCTGTGTATCAGGAAGCCCAGTCCCCATAGCTTCTTTTCTCAGATTGGCAGTCAACCCACTCTTATTTTTATCGATTTTTCTCTTGAATTTGCCCAGTGATTTGATGTCACAAAGACAAAACTGAAAGTGTTGTCTTTGTTGTGGTCCTTTTCATTACAGCTGGTTCCGCCTTCTTGAACCCTGAAGGAGATTCTGGCACAGAGGCAGAAAACGACCCCCAGCTGACCTTTTACACGGATCCCTCCCGGAGCCGGAGGCGCAGTAGAGGTAGGAAGGGTGGAGGCGGTGAAGGGTGGAAGGTGGTAAAGGGGGTTGGGGGCAGGGAAAGGCAGGGGGAAGGCCGGGAGCTGCAGAGGCTTCAGGTTGGGTTAGGGGCTCTGCGGACCATAGGCCAGTTCCTGCAGGAAGAATTCTTGGAACATGACTGTTGTTTCCTCCTAAGGAAGAAAGAAGAGCCTAGAGTGGAAAACTTCAGAGAATCATCTCTCCCAGATAATGGCACTCTCAAACAAGTTTCCAAGTTGTTTGAAAGGCTATTTCTTGGTCAGAAGACTCTCAATTCCTTCTGGAAGCCTCAGGAGTCCTATTTTGCTGTTTAGACAAAGGAAATAAAGTTGATAAAGTGTGCTATATGTGAAAGAATGGACAGTATATGTACCCTTTGCTTACTCAGCCACATTGGCCTTGGGGTTGAGCTAGGCAGGGGCGGGAGGGGGGACGGTAGTTGAGGAATGATCTATGACCTATAAAACGTGTGTAATGGTCTTTGACCTTTAAGCCCCTACCCAGTAGAATCACAGGACCCTCAGCCTCCAAGTCCCCTCCTTTCTCCTGGCAGGGTTCAGGTGGCCAATTCATTCTCCTCGGCATTGATAGAATTGTCCTTGCAGGTAGCCACTCCTGCCTCTGTGTGCCAGTCCACCCTGATGTGTAGTGGCTTTGGGTGTGAAGATTGCAGCTATAGCTGCCACTGCCTATGACTTTGCTGGAATCATCCTCATCACTGAAGGAGTTCTGTGTTCAAGCACCAATTGGCTTTGCCATTTACTTGCTGTGTGATATTGGATAAGGACATCAACTTCTCTGAACCATAATTTCCTCACATATTAGATGGGTTAACAATACCTTGTGCATAGGGCTACTATTAGAATTAAATTATATTAAAATTGCTTTTGCGGGGTGACTGCTAAAGCACTATGAAATCCCTATTGTTGTTGCTGTTAGAATTCCCCATAGCTCAGCTTCAGACTTCTACAGGGCTCCATCTTAAAGAATTTTGGACAGTCCCCTTGAGAAACGATGGAGGATGTATGAGTGGCATTGCCTTATGCTATATGCAATAGCATTTCCCTGAACCGAGTGTCAGCCAATGTTCCCCGGAAGACATTTGGCTCTCTCCTGCCTCCACTTGAGCTCTCTTTATAACAAGGGCATTCTTCCCAAAGATTGGAAGAAGCCATTTTAATTCTAAATTCCAGTGTCTGTAGGCTTCACTGCTATCAGTATAAAAGTTCTTCCTGCCATTTTTCTCAAGATTAATGGGGCTCTGAGCAGCCTAAAGTCTGATGTCCCTGTTTCCCTAAGATGAGAATGTGGATTAGGGTCTCCCCCTCTCTCTTGACCCTCGTTATATAATTTTCGACAGCAAATACTCAACCTAAGTCCACCCAATCCAGGCTTGATCAAAGCAAGGTGTGCTCTGCTTTAATAAAATCTTGTTTAAGGAAATCCATGGTAATGAATTAGAATGAGTTTCTTTATAGTGCAAAACTGTTCCTTTTAAATATCAAGCTCTCCTACTGCATCAACTGTTTATTGCTATTAACTACCCTGTAAGCTTCTTAGGGGTGGGGCATGCCCAATTTATTTTTCCAAAGTGCCTAGTGAAGGATTTTGCCCATAATAGATGCTTGTTAGTGTTTGTTGAATTGAACTGGATACATCAATCAGATCAGCAAAAACATTTTAGAAACCACCTGCTGTGGGTCAGGCTTTGTGATAGGCAATAGAAACATTAAGAATGTGGCACAGTGGTAAGCCTTCATTTAATAATAAAAATAAGTAAAGTGAGTACTCAAAATAGAGAATAGTTAATTCCACCTGGCAGCAATAAGAGGCAAAAAAAAAAAAAGAGAGAAAATATTTAGAATTAGAACTGGGTTATGTTCGTACACAATGCATAGGATTTCCTGAAAGAAGAAGTCTAGGGTAAGGGCATTTCAGTAGAGGAAAATAGCACCAAAAGAGCCTTAAAGGCACAAAAGAATGTGGTATTTTCAGGGCAGTAAAAGCAGTTTAGTATGGCAGCTGTCACCTGGGATGTACACATATTAGCACGTCAGGGAGGGTAGGCATAAGGCTGGAGAACAGGATGGTCACCAAAGGGCCATACACATGCCATGTTACTGAGTTTGCACCTGCTTCTGTGGGTCATAAGGAACTGCTGGAAGTTTTGAAGCCAGGGAGAGATGCTGGATTATGGGTCGATGATGCAGAAGGAACACAGAGACAGGAACATCAGTAGCAAGTTACTGTGATCACATGAGAGCCGTGGCAAGTGCCTGTAAATCATGACCACACTGAGTGATAAAAGCTGTAACAGCAGGGTGCAAAGAGGGCTTGGAGAACACTGAGGAAGGAGTGAGAATCCATTTTTAAAGATTGCAGGGAAATGTTTACAGGGAGATGTGGTTGGAGCTGAGACTTGAAGAGTAGGTGTATACCAGGCTGACAAGGTGACAAAATGGCCTTCTGTGGAGGAGGAAATAATATGTGCAAAGTCACTGAGACATAAACGATGATGGTGTAGTCAGGGAGCAGCAAACAGTTTACTAGAATGAAGCTCAGGATGAAAGTTTGTGGGTTGCTTAGGAAATAAGGTTGGAAATCAGCAGAAGCCGGAAAGTACACAGCCTTGTTTGCAAGGAACTTGGACCTGGCAGTTCAACTGGAGTCACTGAAACTTTTAAAGAGCATTGCTCTGGTCCACAGATGGCTACTGCCGTGGCCCAGTTGTGAGATGATAGCAGTAAGTAGGGATGGAGAGAATGAAGGCCAGAGAAATTTTGGACACAAAATGCAAAAAAACATTTAATGGCATTGGTGGTGGGGAGGGTGTGGCTTGTGAACAAGAGGGAAGAGTTAGACATGATGGAGTTTTTTGACTTGAGAAACCAATTAGATGGCAGTGCCATTCGCTGGGCAGTGGCAATGGGAGGGGGAGCAGGATTTGAGAGAAAGCGGCAGTCTGGTTTGGGAGATGTAGCATTTGAGAGCCTGAGGATGTTCAGGTGGTGGATCTGCTGCTGAGGCCTGGGCTGGGCTGGAGATGTGTAAGTGTGGGAAAGTAGACTCCATTAGAAAAAGATGCCAACATGAATAGAATATCTCCAGGTAGCAAGGACAGAGGATTCAGAGGCTACCTGCCACCCTTGAGTCTCTCCCCCAACTGCTGCCAACACAGCCACTCAGGGAACCTGCTCCCATGGTGCAGCCATGGACCAAACCCTCATCCTGAGACCAGCAGCTCCAAAGGCTCCACTGGGCCCAAAGACCAAATAGTGCATTGTCCTTGTGGCTGTGGCCTCAGCTGGCCCTGGGTTTTGATCCCAGCTCCATTCTTAGCAGCTGCCTGGCCTAGGCATGCACGAAAGCTCATCTAACCCTCTGTCCCTCTGCAGGAGTGGCCTCAGAAGAGTGTAGTCACCATTCAGTGATATGAGCCATGTAAAACCCCAAGCACTGGTGCCTGACATGAAACTACCACTTCATAGGTGTTATCAGTATGACGTTCATCTCTGAGACTTATTTTCCTCATCTGTAAAATGGGTAGTTAGTGAACAGGCTCATTGGCTTATTGTAAGAAAGCAAATATTAAAAAAATAAAACAATGTATATAAAGCACTTAGCACAGTGTCTGCCATAATGGATGCCTTTTATGACTATCAGTAATAAATATTAACACAGAACATAAGAAAATTCCAAAAGAACCTCACATTTTGTTACCTTGCTTTCTTACTTTCCCACATCTGTTCTGCCTCCGTATGAAGGTCCCTCTACTTACTACCATTTTATCCTCTGCACCAAGATAAACAAACAAAAAAATCCCAACATACAAAAAATGTAAAAACCAACCAAACAAAAAACACCCAAAATCTGGAAACAAACCAAATAAACAACCCTTCCTCCCTACCCATGTCCCCACCCTGGGCATGTTTCCTATTGCCCAGCAACAATGATTTCCTACAGTGACTTCAGGACCGTGAGGAGGTTTCTGGTGCGACAACATCATCTACTCACACAGAGCGGACTTTCCTCATTTTCCTTATTTCAGGCCACATGGTAGGACTCCTGCGCATAGAGCGAGCACAAGCTCTGGGAGCTCAGAGAAGCAAGAGAGAGAGGATGCCCCTCTGATTTCTCTTGTGAACCTGGCTGAAGATGAGTGACAGTGGTCAACTGACCATTGTTGACCTCAAGGGTCACCATTTGGCCAAGCCCCTTCTGTCTCCAACCGATGACCACGTGTCCGTGAGAATGAAGGTCTCTGAGATGATTCAGCCAGAGACATTCCCACTAGGGGCTAGGTTTGCCTCCCTTGTTTGCCAGGTTGGGCAGCAAAAGGCCAAGTTGGACTCTCAATGCCCATATTTTTACCATGGTGTGTCTTGCTTTTGTCTTGCTTTCAGTGGGTTCTCCCCGAAGTCCTGTGAATAAGACCACCTTGACCCTGATCAGTGTCACCAGCTGTGTGATCGGCCTCGTGTGCTCGTCCCACGTCAGCTGCCCTCTTGTTGTCAAGATCACCCTGCACGTTCCTGAGCACCTGATTGCCGATGGTGAGCCCATTCTTCTGAGGATGCCACCTCCTCCCCCAAAGAGGAAGGTTATCAGGTTGGGCAATGGATAGAGAAGCCAGGGGTCACTGGCTGCTATTACTATAGTGGGGGAAAAACTAAGCCCAAATAAATAAGGTTTAGGACAAGATTGGATTGCTCACAGATGAACTCAGACAGCAGGTTAAAAAACAAACAAAAAAACCTGAACAGATTACTTCTTCTCTGTTCCCACTCCCATTTTTTGTTTGTTTATAATTAAGCCCCTGCCTTTGTAGAGAAATGCAGGGTATACTGGCTACAGGTAGGTAAACACAAAGATTCTCTTACCTTTGAGAAGGGAAAAGCTAAGTAGAGTAAAAGCGGTGTTTAAGGATTAGCCGTGCTTTGGTTTGGTAGGCCCGGGTGAAAAATTTCTAATTGCAGTAACTTGCTATAAGCTTGGAACTCATGGCAATAATTTACTTTCATCCAGGGGGACCCTAATATAATGAAGGAGTAATGTAGGTTCTGAGAGTCCCTGAATCATTTAAGCCCAGAGCACCTAATTGACTTGTTAATGTCTGTTCTCTCGGTTGCTGTCAGGCTGAGAACAGGTGGGACTGTTTGTGGTGTTAGAGGGCCTGCTATTTCACGGCAAGTGAAGATAGGCAGCAGGTCCCTGTCCCTTGGACTAGCGCCAGTGCCTGTGGCTGGGTCTGATGGAGCCGTGCCACAGCCATCACAGAGCAGCTCTGTCCCTGGATCCCTTGGGAACACCCAAATAGAAATGGGACATGGCAAGGCAGTGGGGGCAAGGCTGGCGGGCCTAATGTCCCCAGCCTGACTGCAGTCCAAGTGATTGCCAAGCCTCCATCTGCTGATCCCTTGCTCTGGGGCTCATGACAGGCTAGGGCTAGGCCTGGGGGGAATAACGATCTCCGATTGGGACTAATCCTTGGAGTGGGATTCACTCCATCTTCAGTGGCTTATGCTCGTGTTGTGTATGTACACACAGCCTTGCTTCCTCTCTCGCCCTGCAGGCAGCCGCTTCATCTTGCTGGAAGGGAGCCAGCTGGATGCCAGTGACTGGCTGAACCCTGCCCAAGTGGTTCTCTTCTCTCAGCAGAACTCCAGTGGGCCCTGGGCCATGGATCTCTGTGCCCGGCGGCTTCTGGACCCCTGCGAACACCAATGTGACCCCGAAACTGGTAGGCAGGAGCAACGGGAAGCGGGTAACTGTCAGAGAGATCATGCCTCTTGCAATCACTCCCGTGAAACTCAGACCATCCCTCTAGCTCCACTGTCTCACTGTCATCGCGAGCCTTGACCTGCAAGCAGCCAGCATGTGGTTGGACCGCTGAGCACAGGGCTAAAAATGTGCATACGTGTTTTGGTAGAAGCTTTGGAAGGATCCTCACGATAGCCCCAAGCCAGAAAGACCAGTTTAGGATGATCTTGCCTGCCACTTTGTCATCCAGTCAGGGGATATTTAGCTACCAGGGCTAGACATTTTATGATTATAAAATTAAAGCACGTTTACTGTAGAAAATTTGAAAAATTCAGAAAACCTTATAGAAGAGAATAATAATCTATATTTCTATCACCTAGATAAATCACTGTTAAATTTTTAATGTTCTCCTTTCCAATCTTTTTACTATGCATGATTTTTAGAGGCTTCCTAAAAGCACACTAAGTCTAGTAGAGTCTCTCTGCTTTTTTCACTTAACATTCCATCATGAGAATTTTCCAGAATCACTACATAATATTTAATAACATAATTTTAATGGCCATTTGATATTTCATTGTATGTCTGTCTCATAGCTCATTTAAACAGTCCCTTTGATATTTAGGATGCTTTAAATTGTTAATTTTTATAAATACTATTAAAGTGAACATCTTTACCTATAAATGCAAGGCACAATGAAGGTTATTTTCTTCAGATAAATCTTAGAGATTATTAGGTCAATGAGTGTAGACATCCTTGTCTATCAAACAGATTAAAGTCTATTTAAAAGACTTCATAGTCTTTTACACTATCAAATGGGGCTGGGGCTTCTCTGACTGAGGGTCCATATTCAGGCATGGCATGAATTAGAGCAGTCACAGAGCACCTTGAACTCCAACATATCTGGGAGTACAGATCTCTTACTACAGGTTGCTTTGCACCTTCATTGCAGAAGGGGTTCATCTACAGCAGTCTTTCAAAGACCTGTTTCCGGTAGGTCGAGTACTGCAGATACATTCTTTCCAGAGAAGTAGTATGATGCCTTAGAGCAAAGGAAAGAGATAAAGTGATATCTAAGATCCCTAAGCGTAATATTGCTGGAGTCACAGGCCAGCTCCTTAAGCTCTGCTCAAGTACAGCCCCCCACTATACACACACACATGCACACACACACACAGGCACACAGATGCATGCTCTTCAGGCCCTGAGGTGGAAGGATTTCACTAGAGGTTGTCTAGCCCTTATAATTCATTACTAAATCTCTCTGAAGAGTAACAGGTAACTGTAACATCTAAAGTTCACCTTCTTAGGTCTTAAAGTTGTTTTACGTGGGCCCATCACAGAGATTCCAGGCCCCATATGGAGGAGAAAATACAACATTTTAAACATCTGATGTCTAAGACTGTGCTGACTTGCTGCTCCTCCCACGCTGTCAGGCAAACACCAAACCAAACAGATGGGCTGTGTGTGTACCATGCCCAAAACCTAGTGTGCTTGGGAGAAAATAAAAAGAGCTCATCTCAGAGGTGGGGCCTTTCCATGCAACTGAGCTAGTCTCTGGTACCCTAGTTCTCCAGCTGGTTTGGATTAGGAGGATTTGGGACAATCTTAGCTGTTAAATGACTTCTGAGAGAAGCATGATTACCAGAGGTTCTTGGATGCTTCTATTTGGGTTTGAAAGAACAGGAAGCACTTTCAATCACATATGGAAAGAAGGGGTTGATGTTTTGCTTGGAGGGGTCTTAGAGATAAACTGCCTCTTTTCTTTAGATCAACATTTGAATTCCTTGAGAAGCTATATGACTTGCCAGTAGTCCCACAGCTCCCTAAAGCAGAGTCTATGTTTCATCTATCATGAAATTTGAGCAGAGGTGGGATTATAAAAGGTTGCTTCATTTCCTCAAACATGTCAGTTCCAACATATATGTCATTCAAAACTGTTTAAGCAGCAACCATTACTGAGCATTACTGTTCCATGTGCCAGAAAGCTGCTCATCTATAGCAAAGTCTTTTCATCAACTCTTCAGTCCTTTCCAGATATTTCATTTCTAATTCTTGCTGAAAGTGACTTTGGCCATTACTGAGCATTACTGTTCCATGTGCCAGAAAGCTGCTCATCTATAGCAAAGTCTTTTCCTCAACTCTTCAGTCCTTTCCAGATATTTCATTTCTAATTCTTGCTGAAAGTGACTTTGAGAAGCCCTTCCCCTACTGATGGCTTCTCAGTATCTGTGACAACTAATGCATTTCCAAGTGGACAGTCTTGGAGGCAGACTAAAAATAAGAACCCAAACCTCACAACAGAACCAAGGTACAACATCTTCATTTGGGTAACAGCTGAGAAATGATGCTGCAAAGACTTTTGTTTTCATTAGTGCTGGAATTGGAAAGCCCCCTCCTGTCCTGCTTCTTTCTGCACAAGGGATGATGTGGTCATCCCACACACTCATCAGTAAGAAACTTTATCGCCTCCTACACTCCATCCTAGAGCCTTTCTCCAAAGAGCTAAGAGTGGGAATTGGCTTCAAGTCAAGTAAACGTTATTTTTGCAATCCTCTAGCTAGCTTACTTGGAAATGTCATAGTGTTGGGACATGTGCTTTCCCAGCCATGTTGAGGGGTCTGCCCATACGAATGCGCGGAGCTGTACAAGTGCACTTGTATACTTTTCACACACAAACACACACACAAACACACAAACAGATGCTCAGTCACTGCACAGGAGCTGCCTCTCATGCCTGGAGCTCTTCTCAGGCATCCTTTCTAAAAGCACCCCAAGACTAAGCATGTGTTTACCCATCATCTGCACAGTGCTCCAGAATACCAGGTGTGGGAGACAGAATAATGGACTCCTAAAGATGTCCACACCCTAATCCCCAGAACCTGTGAATGTGCTATGTTACTTTGCAAAAGAGAATTAAAGTTGCACATGGAATGAAGGTTACTAAATAACTGGCTTTAAAATAGTACATTATCCTAGATGATCTGGGTATTCCCAGTGTAATCACAGGGGACCTTAAAAGTGGAAGAGGAAGGCAGAAGAGGAAGTCAGACTGATGTGGTATGAGAAGGACTCAACCAGCCATTGCAGGCATTGAAGATGAAGGAAGAGGACATGAGCCAAAGAACTTGGGCAGCCTCTAGAAGATGGAAAAGGCATGAAAACAGCACCTCTAGTGCCTCCAGAAAGGAACACAGCCCTGTAGACACCTTGACTTTAGCCCAGTGAAACCCATGTCAGACTTCTGGCCTAAATAAACATAAATTTATTATGTTGTTTTAAACCACTAAGTTTGTGGTGATGTTCTTACTGCGGCAATAAAAAACTAATACACCAAGGAAGGAGAGATGAGACAAAGAGAAAGAGCAAGCATTGCTGGTTCCCCTCTTCATATCCCCTAGCCCAATTTATAGACCTTCTAAAGATATGTTAGAAATGTATGGAAGAAATGGGGCTGGAGGAAACTTGCTGCTCTGGTTTCCATTCCAGCCTCTCTCTACATTTACATTCTACCAACCTGCTCTCTGGGAGGGCTGTAATATTCCTGAGCTCTTAGCCTAGTGCCTAGAATATAGTAAGCACTGGCAAATGTTTTCTAATCATCAAGCAGCCTCAGATTTTCTGATTTGAATTTGGGTGTACCTGAGAAATGGTAGGCCTGTGCCCCCCATGGTTTGTCTGCTGTTTCCAATCTTCTGTGGAGCACTGTGACCCTCTTCTAACACTTCTCAACCTGGGATAACTTGTGTTTCTAGTATTTGGTTGTTCATCAGCTCAGATCGCATGTGGATTAGGTTCAGCCCGCTGACAACTTCCGAAAATATACTGTGTTGCATCTCCACATTGCCCTTCCAAGTTGGGGGAAACAAGTAGGAAATGCACAGGAAAATGATTTTCAGTAACAATAGGGATAGGTAATGTTTATTGAGAGCTCACTCTGTGTCAAGGACAGTGAATTATGTAAGCACTTGAATTATGTAATTGAAGCTTCACAATAAGGATATGATGTAGATGGTATTTTTAATGCCCATTTTATGGATATGTTGGCTAGGTCCCTTGCCTAGTGAAGGCCTAGCCACACTGCAACTCCGGCTGCCCGACTCCGTAACTCACCCTCCTGGTGGTTATGCAATCCTGCTCTCACAGCTCCTGCTGCAGGAAGGGAACCAGGGGGAAGGCTTAGAATTGTTCTGCTCCTGAGTGGCCTCAGCAGAGTGCCAACCCTCTGAAGAAACCCTTTGCCAACTGCACACTAACATTCTCTCCCAGATCCTCCCAGGTTTGTAATCCTAGGCGTGTCTCTGGTCAAGGTGGGCCAACAGCAAAGCATTAAGGGCTTAGTGTCCAACCAGATCCAGCCAGAGGCTGACTTTTCCTGCACTTTCTAAGGGTTTTTGTTGTGGTTATATGTTTGTTTGCTTATTTGTTTTTGTTTTGTTTTTTGATGGAAACACAGACTACCTGGTTTCAGCGACTTTTCTCTCCACTCTCTTCCCATATGGGCAGCTGCGGAGGCTTCACACACCTGCTTAATTTTACAATCCCCATCAATCCTGGCCTCAGACCCTCATTGCCATTTTCAAAATATGTATCTTTTATGGTTCTGCAAGGAGTGCAGGCTTCCAAGCTAAATCAAGTTTCAATCTCCATCCAAGAGGAATCCCTCCTGCCCCAGGTCTTTCTATAGGCCAGTCCCAACCTCGGAGAAACTTGTAAACCTGGTGAGGGGTGTTGGACCGGGTTTCCAGACTCACTCCAGTCCTATACCCTTTTGCTTGCTATGAACTTCTGCCTCTCTCTCTAACTTTTCCTGGGTTTTGTGAACCTAATTTGGCAGGATAGCTCCATTCCTATTTTATTCTGGCCCCCTGGATAGCCCACTCATTCCAGACCAATGGAAGCACCTTCCTTCAGGATATACTTTTGACATGTTTCACTCTGTCTCCCCTTCTAGAGTTGTGTGGGGCTCTTTGACCTTGGGCAATCAGATACCACCCGAATCCAGGTGCCTTGCAAAGACTTCCCTTTTTAGACAAAGCACACCCAATTCCATCTAATAAAAGCCAACCACCACCTGAAGCATAGAAGGGACTCAGGCATCTGGCCTGGATCTGTGTTTGCCTCTTGAAGAACATGGGGTGAGCCCAGTCATGTCTGAGGAGCCCTAGCTTCAAGGTCATTCTTTAATCCCTGGAATGAGACTTGCACCTCAGTCATTCAGCTGTAGAATGGGAAAGGCACTGGCCCCCATACAAGGCACCAGAAGGCATTTGCCCTTAGAGTACCAAGTACAAATCAAGTGTAGCCAGCCCCAGACCCTGCACTGACCACCTCTCCGTGGCGGTCCTCTCTGGCAGTGTGGTTGCCTGAGCGCCTCCTGCAGGACACACCCTATGCTGGCTGGGCACTTCTCCGTGGCCATGACATGTCTCTTTGTTGGATTCCTATGTAAACCACCACAGAGTCAGCGCCTCATGTGTTTCCCGCCATCTGTCATAGCAGATGCGGAGACTGTAACACTTCTAGCTTAGGAGGGCATCCAACACCCTTGTGGGGTCTTTAAAATTCACAGCTAACAGTCGGAGCCTGCGCTTGCACGAACCCCTGTTAAAGTCAAGATTTAGCAGTTGGTTGCCATAGCAACTTTCCTCATCAAGTCTGAACTCCTCTCAATGTAGATGGCCAAACTGGTCTTGGGAAGGAATACAGAGGAGGGAAGTTTGGTGGGTTCCAGAAATGAAGATCTTTTGAGGGGCAAATTTTGGATATCCTCAAACTCTAGCCTGATATGTTTGGAAATGTCTCTGTTGTTGGGACTTTGGGCTGCATGTGCCATTATATGGAGGAAGGCTTTATGTGTTCTCGGCAGTGTGCCCCACGTAGTAATGAATGATGGAAACCTCATAAGGAGATAATGACTGTGAAGGCAATTTGAGAAGGTAAATGTGCTACACAAATGGTAGGTATTGCCGTCATTAGAAAATAAGGCTCTGCTTGAACTCTGAGTTGTTACTGCGTTTATTTTTACATATTTCGTGATAACTAGATATCAAATGTGGAAGAAAACTCCCTTTTTAGTCAATCCTTAATTCTAGGCAAGGCATCCAGCCAAGAGCATTATAAGAGTCAGAATGGTGGTCCTGAGAACCTCCTGAGATTACTTCCTGGTTTTTAAATATCATACCCATGGCCAATTGTCCACAAGGACAATCAGGCGAGTATCATTCTCTAAGGGACATGTTTGTATTTGAGCCCTTGACACATTAATTGATTTAGATATCTGCATCCTGAGGGAAGGGAGTTTATCTGTAAATTTAGGGAAAACTCTTTAATTAATTAATTTATTTTCCATTACACGGTATTTGTCAAAGGTCTGCTCATGTGGGGATAAACTAATCTTGCTCCTTCCCTGTGTAGCTTATGGTCTAGGGCCCATGTTTTCTTTGGAATTGAGAAAGTATCAAGC